GGAAACCCGCTATAGGCCATGATAGCAAGGTCAAGGTCAGCATGGTGGTTCCCAGCGACCATGCACAACAGCAACAACAGAACACTGGTCTTGATAGCTAAATTAACGCTAAGCCCAGCGAATCTTAACGCCCGGGACGAAAGTTTGGTGGTACGAACGCCTGGCTGGCCCAAGTTCAGGATAGCTTCCAAAGACAGCAGATGATTCAAGTGACATACATCAGTCGCACATAGTGTCAATTTGGTTAAAGTACCCTGGACCCAGCGTCCCGGTTGGCTCGGCGTGGGAAGATAGGAGGGGCCCTATTAGCCTGCTTTGCTTGGCTCAATGATCGCCCAAGTATGCGTAAACGCATTGATCTTGTGTGCGAGCCTCTACGTTACCACAGGCGAGAAGACCAGAAAACAGAAACACCCACGGCCTCGATCCGCTCTTGTCAATTTACCATAATTTGGCCATGAAATCGGCAAGAAATCCCGCCCGGTGCGCTTTATCGAACTCACCGAGCCCCCTAATTCGGTGACCTAGGTCCCGCAGACAGCCTTATTCTTTGAGCATTAAAAAAATTCGTCGTGGTGCACGAGATTAAACTTCGGGAGGCGCCCGCTGTAAAGTCGTGACAAAACCGCATTGCTCCGGGATGAACAAGGCGTCCTGGCCTTGGATTAGATTCCAGATCTGGTGGCGGAATATGCTGGTACTTGGAAGGTGTTTATAGTTGCTCGGATACCGATCTATCATGCTTCCAGTTATGTAATGAACTTCCCTACACTAACTGCTCGAGATACAAAGATACAAAATGGACCAGGAACAGGACCAGAGGCATACATGAATTGGTCTCTTGGCCCATGTGGTCTTTCACGTGGTACGCAGAATCCAATGGTTCAGCGATGGAGCCAAAACGAGCGACCAGGGTACCCGATTCGACCGACCCGTTGCACGACGCCCGAGCCCTGTCGTATTCGCCCATCTCCTCGGTAGGCTGGGAATATTAAGCCAAACCTATGGAGGACAATACTTATATCATGCAATCCTCTCATTCCTCCTCGCCTTTGCTCCACTCAACGTCTTTTGGAGGTCATTTGCAACCGACCACAGCGGGATCAACGTTTATATAATATCTTCCAATCTCAACCACCCTGACATTGCTGATCTAATCAATACTGGCAACCCGAATATAACGTCTTCCAGGCCTACTTGTCCTCAAATTGCTGATAAGCTCAACACTGGCAGCGAGAACTCAGGATCTTCGGATACCCCTTGCCCTGCCATCGTTAATTATCTCAATACTGGACACCCGAACGCAATGTCGGCCAACACCACCACTCCCAACGCTGGTCCCGTCCACGTTAGCGCCCCCGACGTGGTCGCCAACCTGAGGCCTCTTGCTGTATACCCTCGCCGACAAATGTTGAGGGCTAAAATGGAACGTCTGGAGAAAAAGCTGGTTGTCTCGCAGTTTGCATATTGTGTCTGGTTTATTCACGCGCTTTACCCGCAAACGATGGAAGCTAGGGAGCTTATAACGGTGATGCACGTTTTAATTGCTATGGATGCGAATTGGGAACTCTTTTGGCAGTCTTTCCATGGGCAGGAGCCGGATTCCGACGGTTTCGATGGGTACAGGTCTTTTGGGGCATAGTAACGCTATGGACATGGTCGAACTTCAGCTGTGAGGAAGCGAGCATCGTTGGAGTTGAAGTTTAATTTTCGATGCTGAGGTTCAAATATTAGCGTCAAGCTTATTATTGCGTGATTTCAATACTTTGTTCTTCAAAGATACCAATATCCCTCATTGAATGGTGCTGTGAGCTCGAGATAAGTCTGGCTTGCTAAGCTCAAAGCGAAAGTGTTAGCTGGCCGGGCAGAAACGACGGAGCTTCAATTATATCCAGCTGTCAAGGGAAATAGCTTGCGCCAGAACGTGATGTTTCCCAGTCAGCAGGATTCGAGAAGAGTGACATTGTTCCTTCTGACCCAAATTGAACGGAAAGTAGACGACAGAAGAAGACTTGTTTGCATGAGCGGGGGCAGCCTGATGCCTGATTTGCCTCATGAATCATCAGGCAAATGAGGCGTAGAGTCGGCATCGAGAAATTGACTTGCAGATATGAGCTAGGCGACAGACAAATGGGAGGGCGTGTGGGCGATTGCTGACACACCTGCCGCCTCAATCTGCAGACAAATAGTGGGAAGGTCCACCATTGCCACCGAACAATCACCAGGAGTAAGCCGTGGTGTGCAAATGCGAGCAAGCCACCATAATGGAAAATCAGCACTGCGCTGCCGCTGCTGTACGCACGGCCCAATCCACTGTCGTTGAGCACTCGTCGACAAAAATGTCATAGTAGCGCCTTCTGGGCACGATGATGGTGCACGGGGCTTCAGCACGGTTTTTCTACAAGAACGGCCAGACTATATGGGAAGCAGATGGACTTCTAAAATTAAAGGACATGCCAGAACGGGACGAGTTCCATGTCACGAGAGGCTTCGTGTGTGCCATTCAGAAGAATCACCCCCCACATGCCGCCTCGTCGATCAATTGAGTACCTACTACGTAGTTCCCAACGCTGTGTAACCGAGCCGCGGATGTACCCCCGCCGTCTAGCGCCCAAAGGGATCTTGAAGATGGACGTAAAATGCGACAGAATAAAACGACTCCTGGCGCTGTATCAACGTCCTGTCGAAGCCCATCAAATGAAGATTGATGCCATCACTTGGTCAACATCAACCAACACATCCACCCGTCCTATCAAAACCTGTTCTCTGTCTTTCTTAAAGCTCCCGCTGAAGACTAGCAAGAGAATAGATATACAGCTATTATAAAGTGACAAGGTTCAATCATACTGTTGGCAGGAATAGGGATTTCTAAAGTTCATAGGGTATCTTCTCATTGTACACAATAAAGATCTGTTCAAACTCACAACGCTGCGACTTGGTGCGTTATGCCTCGTACCCCTAGTATAGAACAGTTGTATTAGGTTATGCGCCATCCTTAAACATTCAAGCTCGTTCATTGTTGGCTCGCGCTGCGGCAGCCTCTAGCTTATGCTTTTGTTGCGGAGATCTCCGCCATAGGTTCAAAGAGTTCATGTATCTCTTTTTCGCGTATGAGGGAAGATCTACCATCAAGGCCAATGCCCTTTCCCTGTCCAATTCAAATTTTTGATTCCATTTAATCGCTTGGAACACATAATTGGCCACTGTGCTAGTTTTGAGAGGTGGGTCTCGCATGATTGTTGCGGTTTCTTCTAGGCTGAGCTTGCGGAAATGCCACAAATAATAGGCCCGCAAGTGACTGGGCGCAATTCGGTACCGCATACCCTGGTCTGTCTCCCTGTACTCTTTAGCGAATGACTCTGATGCTTCCCACATCTCTTTGGCATTGGCGGGAAGACTGGACAGTGTTTCGGACTTAGAGTCACGCTTATTTGTTGCCAATTGTTTCTCTTTGGGCACGAGTGGCTTCTGCTCCTCCCAGAATGCCGGGCGAGGAGGCCTAGGGTCCATATTTAGTCGCTCCTTTTCCAATGTAGCGTATAACTGAAAGCCGGCATATGCATCAGATGCCGCATACTCGCATTGCTGTGCATTTAGACCCACGGACCATTTGCTCACCCTGACATCATCCTTACGCATTGGCAAGCACAAAACAGTCTCTACCTGGCGCGCCAGGGCGATGGTTTTCCTGCTCATGTCACCCCGCCCGCCTGAGTGCCGTGCAATCTTGTACATATGGCTAAGTTCCATCATGCCCTTCATCTTGATGCCTAGCCACCTCTTCACTCGGGTCGAATCAGAGCCGATACTGGACCCTGCTTTTACGACCTGGTCAGTCTCCAGAAGCTCTTTCAATGCTGGTGGAATAAGAATATTTTCTCCTTGAGTCGGGAATAACGAAAGATGAAAGAGAGCAATTCGGTCTTCGGAAGCGATCTGAAGCAGACTTATATTTCGCTTAAGAGAGGCTAAAGTCTTGGATCGGGGCGCATCACAATCCCACTCCATGTCGAATCCCACAATCGGCTCTTTAAAGAATTTTAGTGCCACTTCCTGAGCTTTGGCAAAATCTTTGCAGTAGTGCACTGAGGGAGACTGATTTGATGGATTTCGATACATCCTGTAAGACCAATACGCCGCAGCCGAGCTTGTGGATGTTTTCGCCGCAGTCAGAAATTCATCAGGAGGAATCACATAGCTCAAGGAATCGAGCGCAACATCATCCAAAACTGTGTGCTTTTGGTCCTCCAAGGGAATGTCACTTGGGATCTCTTCCGCCAAAGTATCAGCTTCAATTTCTTCGACAAAAGTATCAATAGCATCCTCTTCATCATATTTGAGTCGCCCAAGCTCATCTTTCGAATCGGCTTGAAGCCTTTGAGCCGTCGGATGGAAACTCAGACACGGGTACTTGAGTGAAGATGCAAGCACACGGGGACTGGCTGCAGGCCCTTTACGCACATCCATATTTTGTATGAAGTCGGGACACTCCAGAGCACTTTGCTGCTCACCGAGGCGTATCACACCTTGTAATGTGGCATCAAAGCCAGGGTCTGATGGTATGGGATCATTCCGCCCTACCAAGGGACACTGGCGCTGCTTCGGCTTTGAGAATACAATTCCATCGGACGGAGACCAGATGGATCGCCGAGAGGGAGTGGAGTCAGCAAAGACAATACCCTTGCTTGGGTGCCAACGGTGATCTATAGGAGCGCCGAACGGTCGATTGGAACTTGTTGAAAGCGATTGCACCATGTAAGAACTTGCTTTGCCCCCTACTTTACCATGTTTAACAATAGTATTCGAAGGTGCCGTGCGGAAAACTGTCATTAAATGAGGTTGCTTCTGTTCAACTGTTGGCATCATGTTGACAAGCTCGTGAAACGGGTCGGGCCGACCCAGTAACTGTTTGATTCGCAACAAAACAATTTGTTCCACCTGTTTCCGGGAGCATCTTGGAGGTTCAAATGTGCGTGTTCGACATTCAATATGCAAAAATTTACCCCCGCCGAGGATCGAACTCGGGACCTTATCCGCTCTCTCTCCATCGCAAAGTGTAAGCGATGTGAAGGATACGTCATACCACTAGACCACAGAGGCCATCTAATAATGAGATGAGTGAGCAATGAAATTATATGGCTAGCGTGGCCAGTTTAATGAAAGTATTGATCGGAGACATCTGTACCCGCCGATTCAGTATTCAGTAATGAATATGAAAGTCACAGATGAACAAAGTATCCTTGGATTACGGACGTTTAGTCAAACAAACCGAAGCCCATGTCTCCCTCGGATTCCTCGTCTTCGTCCTCCTGCTTGGCCTCCTCCTTTGGAGCCTCAGCCTGGGCGCCACCAGCCGCAGCCACGGGAGCCGCCGAGGCATACTTGTCAGGGTTTTGGACGCGGTCTTTGAGCTCCGAGATACCTTCCCATTCATATTCTGGGAGCTCGAGAGCAACGCTGATCGCATTCTTGTAGGCATTCACCACACTGTGCATGACGGACGGTAGCGTAGGGAAGTTGACCGCCAACGAGATACTTGCGATCGTAGAAATGGCGGAGCTGAGCGATTTCAGCAGCTGGCTCTCCTCCACATCGAGAACGGTGGGGGAGAAGGTCTGTCCGTCATCGTAGATCTGAGCAATGCCCATTCCGTACGTGAAGGGGGAGATGTTCAACATGTTGAGCAGAGTTGCCTCGGACGGACCGACCTTGGCTCCGGACTCCACAATCTTCAAGTCCGACGTAATTTCAATGGTACCACGGGCGATCTTGGTCGGTACACCGAGGGCCTGGAAGAAAGACGTCTTACCAGGTTCCATACCGGTGTTGCCAGCCGGGATCCATACGTCGCCTGGCGCAACGGCACCGGCACGCGCTGGGGCCGCCACGCGATTAGACAACAGCTTCGTGCGCGTTTCCTTGAGGTCGGCATTGGTGAAGACAAAGCCAACGTTTCCACGGACGTGCGGCAACAAACGCTCGTACTCGGGAGCGTCGGCGATGAACGTCTTAAGGGCGCGGCGGACCTTCAACAGTCAGTAACCGCTACTGCCTTGAAGTGCATCTTCTCTTACCATGGTGTTCTTTCCCATCAAGACCACGCCTTGCCCACGAAGGGCTTGACGGATCTCGTGCATCTGCTGCGACGAGACATTGTCGACGGTGACGATGAAAATGGACTTGTATTCTTCGAGCAAGCCCTTGAGCTTGTCGAAATAGCTGGCTTTGGCTGCTGCTTTGCCCCCCATCGTGTCGATGCGCGAAAGGATTTTTCAGGCTGGAATGTCGGTGTTGTGGAGAAGCGGGCTGCGAAATTCTGAGGAAGCGTGGTGCGCGCGGGAACAGCCGTGGTGGGGCATGCGACCTCACCCCATCTTGCAGGCGGCACCATCTCGGAGAGTCGAAACAACTAGCCAATCAATTCGCCTTGGACTTGGTCGGAGAAGGAAAGGCTCGATGCCTATGGATCTGCAAGGAAGCCCTGCCAAGCTGATGTGGCTAGCCGGTGGTTCCTGAGGCTGGCAGGGTCGTCAAAGATTGTACTCAAGTAGGCATCACATTATTGGGTTCTAAGCGAGCCTCCTCTTCGAAGGCCCTAGTAATAAATGAACTACGTCGTTTGCCGGTAAACCCTCAATCACTCCTTCGCGAAAAACTCAGAAGCAAGTCATCCATAGGAAATATAGTGGCAAACACGCGGATCTCTTCGGAACGGGAAGTGATCTCATGATGCCAGTTCAATTCCGAGGCAAGCATATGCAGGAAACAGACCAGATTCTGTACAGCATAGGTTTGACCAAGGCAGTAATGAGGCCCCGTGCCGAAAACAAGCCAGTTTTTGCCCTGGTCTTCGGCCGTTCCACTTATCCAGCGGTCGGGATTATAGGTATCGGGGTTGGGCTGTTTGAGGAGTTAGCTCAAGACCGAATGAGGTACCATGGTGACTTACATAGGCCTCGGGATCGTGCAGTGACAGCCACGTAGATGGCACGATCATGGAGCCTTTGGGTGCAACGTAATTATCACCTATTGGGAAGTCCTTCTTTACCAGATATGGAATCATGAGCACCGGGGGGCGGTAACGGAGGGTTTCTTTGACCACCGCACGAGTGTACTCCATCTTCTCAAGGTCTTCAAGTCGGACCTCCTGGCTTGCATCTGGACGAACTCGCTGTCCCTCTTCACGCACCCGAGCAAGCACGTCCGGACGATCGGCTACCACCTGCAGGAGCCAGCTACACGCGCTGGACGTGGCGTCTTGGGACGCAAACAAGAAGGTAAAAATGGTCATACCGACCTCAAAGTCACTGAAGTTGCGGATCAACATGGCTGGCTTCTCTTCTTCCGCCAACACCTCACCACGGGCAATGCGGTTACGGTACTCTTCCGACTCAAACATCTGCAAAAGCCAGCGATCCAGAATGCAGACCGGCTTGGCTCCAGCCAGCCTCATACGCACTCGCGCTTTGGCAGCACAGTTGGCAAAGGCCTCCAACACCATGTCAGCTGCCTTCTTGCCATACCAAGTCTTGGTAAAGGGCAGAATTATGGGGAAATTAACCAACTCCATGGCAGCCGTGATGTTGTAATAGTCGTCGGCGATCTTGACTACAGCATCGTGGCTCATGTAATGGCCAACAAAGGTGCGGCAGGACACGGCACACATGAGCTCGCGCAGTTTGTAAACAAAAGGCCGAGGCTTGCCGCCGGCATCGGCAGTCATCTGCAAAAACTCGTTGAAATACTCGCGATACACTTCCTGCTGACCAGGGAGGTAGGTCTCCAACGCTTGGCGAGTAAAGAGGGTGTTGAGACCTTTACGATACTCGACGTGCTCGCGTCCATCCAAAAAGACCCAATTCTGCGGTCGAAGGAGTTTGTGCGCGACATCGACAACGCAGGGCTTGACGTACGCGGGCGAGTTGAGAACCTTGCGCGCCATGTCACGCGTGGACGCAAGAATGACGAACTTATGGAAGACGCTGACGCACGACAGAGGCCCAGACAGCCATTTGCGGTGGTACTTGTCAAACGTCGGCCGCACGCTATCAAAGAATGGTCCAACGAATGGAATCTTCCACGCATCGCCCGCCAGATGCTGCTTGTGCCGGCGGTAGGACACTAAATAACCAATCAGCTGGTGCAAAAGCGGCAATGAAGAGATGCGCACCCTGATCGTAAACGACCGCTGCAAGTAAAAGAGTGAACAGAATGCTGAAGACACCGCCGCTCTGCAGAACGCGGCTTACGAGGCCAGGCGCGCCTACCAAAACCACAGATGGTGCATCCGAGGGCGTAGAGGCGGAGGAGGCGTTAAAGCCCTCCATGACTGAGGCCATGGTATGCCAAACGTCGGGGGGGCCGCAAGGCGATTTTGACATGGACGCTACTCTATACTCATTTTGGTTAGTCTCGGCTCGCTCCGCTTTGACTTCACCTCGTCTTAACAGTTTACAACAGCTGTCAGTCACTAACCAACGATCGCAGATGTATGCATGGGAGAGAGCTTTGATCAACGGTTTCATGTTGTCTGTATATAACATTACTCACGCTGATCACAAGGTCATCAATCACTGCGCGCCGACCAGGCACCCTTTGACCAGAGCCTTGTTAGTTCCGGGCACTTAGTACTCCAGAAAGACCCTTTCGTTTCTGGCACGGTAAAAGGCCTCCTTATCCCAGCTCACCGCTGTGTCCAGAGCCTCGGACGGCAGCTCGAAACCTTGCTCTTCCACGATGCGGTCAATATCTTCAATGGTGGCCTTGTCATCATTTTCCTTGGCCCACATGATGACCTGGGTCATGAGTCCGCGATCGGCTTTGCTGGGATGAACTCTGACGCCATCCGCCATTGCAGCCAAAGGATATAGTCCCAAGGCCTTCTCGCGATGAGCTCGATTCTTCACGTGGCCCACATGGTAGCGACTAGCACCTCTATTTTCGTAGCGGTCATGATCCATGACTTTGGGGTCCTCCATTCCCTCTTCTTCGAACTCTTTCTTCATCAAAGCATTATTCGTCGACACCTGCTTTCGAAACTTGGCATCCACGCGCTTCACAGCCGCTTTCGTCAATCTCCCCCTGTGCCACAGGACGAGTTCGGCAATCATGAGATTGTTGAAACCGGAAGAACGCGCACGCAAGTTCAACTCCGCTACGGCCGCGAGGTGCTGAGGAAAATAGCATATCATCTCACGTATACCGAGCTTGATCGATGGAAGCATGGCCTTGATCGGCGTGGCGTCAAAGATATCCGTGTCCCATGTCTGTACACGCTCACGGCCACGCTCGTTCTTCCATGTAGCCGGCATGGCAACGTACTCCCTGCCCTTGGCAGGCGTAATATGCTTGCGCATGGCAATGGGCGGTGTGCCGTTTGCAGCAGCTTCCGCGTCCGATTCTGAGGCAGTGTCGTCTTCATGGTCATCGTCGCCGCCATCAGTCGCACCAGCGGGTTCCTCTTCATCAGTCGCAGCACTCGCCTTATCGTGATCAATCGCAGCAACGAATGCATTATCACCCTCGATCACAGAATGACTGCCATTGTCAATTTCTCCCTCGGAGTCATCGCTATCGGTCATGCTGCCGAAAGCATTCACGATGATTCTATCCACTACGTCCTCACTCAAGTCCACCTCGTGATGATTCGAGGCCGCCGGGTTGGGCGAAATGACATTTTCAAAGGGACTTGCGCCGCCATCGTCTAACATTTTGACATTATCGGACATTGGGGTGACAGCCGAAGACGAAAAGCCTGACGCAGCCGGATCCTCACCGGCGGAGAGGGTCGGAAGCGTGCCCGCGTCAAGATTGGTCTGCATCGCACCTTGTGCTGATTGAGCAGCGACGGTCTGTAGACGCCGCAGGAGATTAAGTCTATTCGCGCCTGGGGTCGCATGCTGTGCATCTGGCGACTTGGAGGGCGTAGCACTGGTTGGTGCGCAAGTCCTGTTCTCCAAACGCAGGGCCGATCCCTGGCCCCGCTTGGGTTCTTGCGGCTGACTACCACGATTGACATCACGGGTGGGCCCCGGGCGCTTGTGGCAGCAACATTCGCACCCTTCTTTTGTGCACCGAGACCCATCATAGGAGCCATGGTC